ATTGTCCTAGTCGAGTATGATCTTCCTTCGACGATTGGTTTATCTCATTTCTCTAAAGACTCCCGCCAAATAAATGGTTGTGTACCACTCAGAATTGACCGTTCTAAGTTCTTCAAGTGGTACAGTTGTGACATGACCAGTTTTTTGAAAAAAACAAAAAGCATGTGGCCATTACTTGAATTTGCTTTTTCCGCGGACAGTTTCTGCTTACTTTAAAAGACCCAAGCAGTGAATTGCTGTTTTGTTTAGGGCTAAAAGGTCTAGACTCATGACAAGTCACCTGTCAAAATTTCGTTAATATGTTTTGAGCTACTTCGGGTGTTCTGATGACTACCAAGATTACGAGTGAACGGATCGAATAAAATAGCATATACTTTTAGGTGTTCGACGCGATACCTGCAGTTAGAGAACGTGGTAAACAAAGTACGTATCTTCGGTGGAAAAACTAGATAATGAATGATTGAGGCGCACTCGGTACTACTAATTGTCGACAGCAAGCCACTGATCGGCTGGCCGAAGCTAATCGAGGCGGCTAAGGTCGACTCACGTCTGTAAGTTACTAAGTAACTAACTAAGTAAGTCAGTATACTTCTATATTTTTGCATAACTCACAAATTTATTTAAACGACATAATTTATGATTAATTAAAGTGATTTAAGTTACCCAAGCAGACAGCAAAAAATTGATAAAAGTAAATTTCATTAGACACAATAAATTTTCCACAAAAATGGATTGAAACAATTGAATTGAAAAGCACAAAAACAATCTGCAATTGTGTGATTTCAGTAATAAATACCATAAATTTGCATTTTTATTTCAAATGGGCTAAATGTCAATAGAATAAAATCAATTACAATAATACACAGTATAGAATATTGTATAGAATAAAACAAATATAAAATATACAGAAAACACACAAAACTTAAGGTGCTTCAATCAAATCAGATTCTGTATTGGAATCATTGGACTAGCAATGATATATCTTAATTCAATTCAATCAACTAAAAATATTGAGTGGTTCAAATGTCAGTGGCAGGTTCCATTTCTATATCAACGTAAAATTAATTAAGTAAAACAAAAAATTAGTTGTGTAACGCTGTTTTTAATTGCATTTCAATCAACTTTTTTTTTTTTTAAATTTTAATACTATTGTTCTATACATTATTTGTTTTTATAATTTATTTATGGTGTTTTAATTTTAATTGAACAAAAAGTGTTTAAAATGATTCATTTACATCGTTTGTATGAAAAAAAAATTATTTATTATTATTTCAAATGAGTGCGATCGGTAAGTGAAGATCGAGAAGAGAAAATTTTTGAAGCAATCAAAATCACGTACGCTATTATATCGATTTTGATGTAATTATTATTATTATTATAATCTTTTTTTAATTACAATTACATTAGAGAACCTGCCACACATTCCGTTTCAGCAATTATATAAAAATATGCTTGCCAAGAGATAATTCTATTAAATACATTTTCACATGTGCATATATATTATATGAAAACAAATATACATATATTGGGCTCTGAGTGAATAAATAGCTCAGACAAAATGTGACTTTCACTTAAAGCTATAAACGTTGTACTTTGACCGCCAAATATCTCATCTACCATATGCCTATACGTATTCAGCAGCCCACTTCCATACAATCATAGATTCACATAAACTCTTATCCGCCAGTAATAAAAAGTTTATTCCGGTTATAACGAATGCTATTAAACGGTATAAAGCAGATACGATGCAATACATTTTTTATAAACAATTATATGACATTTAATCATTTAACGCGTCCATAACTATAATTAACTATAATTTTTTTAATATAAATAGAATTACAAAAAAAAAATTATTACTTATAACAACCAAAGCTATTCTACTACTAGTTTCGCTGTCAAGATAATCTCTGCTTCACATACTAATTAAAATCGTTTTTATTACCGAAGTAGGAGTAATCAAATTTGTTTTTATTAAAGATATTAATAACATATTAATAATAATTAACAATACACAAAAACTAAAAACGGAAGAATATGGGTTTAATGTGGTGAAGAACTTTTCTGTCATGTAGTAAAGAAATCCTTTTTAGCAAATCCAATATTCTATGTAATAAGTATACAGAATTATTAAACAAAAGACAAATAAAAAAATTATTAATTAATCAATTAATTATTAATTAATTAATCAAAGCTGTGAGTGCAATGCAAGTATGTGACCTTTTGACCAAATCCTCCATAAGTTTTTCATAACCTGATTTAGGCAAGGTCTTCAACTCTCCTTTAACAAAATTTCTATAATAGCCTCATTTGATTCGAAATCCTGAGATGGTGTTAGCTTCCACAGTAGATAATATTTATTACGGAGCAGAGAGCGAGCAGAGAGGAGCATAGAGTGAGTCACACTGCTGTTTGTTATTTAAGATACTATTGTTATTATTCACTTTCAGATTTTAGTTTTTACTAAAAACTATAGGATAAAGATAGGTTTGTACGTATTAAAATGGGACAAAATTCATTTCTTTTCTGATTTGAACAATTCTGTTGTTGCGGGTTTTCTCAGCTAAACATCTTATAATTTTCATCTTATAATAGTATTTCTTAATCACAATTTATCTCAAGAACTCGGTAAGCACCACACCACGGTCAACGAAAAAAACTATAAGTATCACTTTGATATTTGAGTTTTGGGTTTGGATTCGTTTTCCAAGCGACTTTCTATCGATTACTTTTTGTGACTTGTTTGCATATCGTACTCCTATGCCATGTCTCCCGCTAGTTATGAATTAGTGGATTTTTTAGAAACTGGAGAATAATGTCTTCATCAACCTGTTTATGATATTCGATTTGAACAAACCTAAGCTCATTCAGCAGACCTTGCAATACGTTTTGTGCTCATAAAAGTGGTGTGTGTATTTTTAACGATTTAAATATCATTTTCAATTCATAATAATTACCATACATTACAATTTACATGACAATTCTCCTGCTCTAGCTTTGATTTTTCCAATGTTATAGACGCTATTAATCATTTAAGTCTGACCAGAAAAGATTATATCTTAGCCTTTTTAAAATTTTTTACACCATTCATATGCCTTAATTTTTAGGAGGCATGATTAACCCTATGTCTTCTGAAATATTTTCAACCATTCGGAATACGAGATTTCATTTGAAACACAAAATCTAAAGCAATCTCTTTGTTCAACATCGTAGAACACTCAAAAGTATAATTAGTTTGCTTAAATATTCATAATTATAAAAGAAATGGACAAAATATCAGCAGGTACATTTGTCATTTAATTTTTCCTGTTAAATTCTAATCTATTCTGTCTGTTGAATGCGCTTTAGTGTAAAAGTATTCTCTTCATTCGAAACCCAATAATTAACGACATAATAACGACAAATGAAAACTGCTTGTGAAACAATAAACACAATATGTAAATGTAGAACAATAGCAAGGAGTGAGAATTACAATTCTGTTTGTCATTTGAAATATTAGTTATTATTCACTTTTAGATTTGAGCACTCATCTACTTTAAATCTATTCACTTGCTTGCAGTTTAAATATTATATGTTATGTCTATGTGTAAAATAATAACAGTTACTAAATGTACTAGAATGGCAAGTAGCACAATGTTATGTGGTTTTTATTGTAGCCTGCTTGTGTACTTCTTTTTTGGAATGATGAACGTCACTTGGTCGTCTAATTCGACAAGTGACTGCGAAACATAGATCCGACATAGATTCTTGGAACCTCACAATGTAATAGAATGTTTGGTTTGTTTTCAAGTTATTCGCAAATTATTCGCTTTTGAGTTCACATGTTAAAACATAACTCACAATTCAAGAAAGCATTCATGAAAGCATTAATTTGGTTCATTGAAGTTGTCTGGGGTGTTCATAGCTACCGAGAGCAATTCTCTTAGCCAGTAATCTGATTTCTTGAAGTTCTCTACTATGTGCAACGCTTTATAAACTTATCGAATGTACATACTTATATGATAACTAATAAATACGATCTCTTATTATATTAGGCACTCATATATGTATATGGATTTAAGTACTTATCGAATGTATACATAACATAGTTATCATAACTCATAAATACGATCTCTTATTATATTAGGCACTCATATATGTATATGGATTTAAGTACTTGCAATGAACTAAGCATACCAGTTTTAATTGTAACGCATCAACTTAGTTCTTGAAATGCGCTTTTTTTCGATATTTGCGTCTGGTGCAATTATTTATTTTGCTTAGCGTTAAAAGTAGCATGACATTGTGAATTTTTAAAAAATTTCTCAGAGAAATTAGAATTTTTTAGAATATATAAAAACAGAAAACTGAGTCTATGTCATATGTAGGAAGCATTGTATTGACGCAAAGAATGAAATAGTTTGCTAATATATGAACATGTCATTGTTCTCCTCTAATAGTGGGGATTAAAGGCTTTGTCAGTTAATTGCTAAGGTTATATGTGGCACACAATACTATACTGTGGGTACTTTAAGTTTTGTTCGTACTGTTATAATGTTTTTAATTGTAAAAATTCTAATTTATTATTAAGAATAAAGAACTTTTAGTTCTGAAATAGAATTTTATAAATAATACAATTTTGGCGGTCACTTTTATTGTGGTTGTAGAGGGCATAATCTAACCCCTAAGTATGGTAGATATTCGCTTTTACTGCAGAACTCCCGTAAATGGCATTCGTGCTTCATTTGTTGTTCGTGCTACCGTTGTTTTTTTTTATAGATTAACGGTCAATTATTTATTTATTTGTCCTCTTAATATCATTAGCACCAATAACAATTCAAACTAATTAGAACTAAATGAAAATAAAAAGTCTAATAAGAAAAATCTTATTTTTTGCAGATTCAAATAAGAAAGTTCCTGATTATTCTCAAACTTGACATTCGCATTATTTGATATTTGAAAGATATTCGCATAAAAAATTATATGAAAATTTTGATATGATAAAATATTTTTCTACTTACTATATTAAAATTAAAGTTGTTATTATGTTAATAATCAGTCCAACAATTGTTATAAGATTTGGTGCAAGCCAAAGTGGTGTTTTTGACACAAGCCAATTCCACCAAGGCTGCAGCCAAGGATCCATTAAGCTAGCGCTGGTGCAGGAATACTTATGCTCCGACAGCTTATGCAGCTGTTTATTGCTCAGAATGTCTTTGTATAATATAGCCATCTTTACTGCTTTTGAGTTTTAGTTAGAGATCTTCAATATTTTAGGGTTGTGTAGGTCAAACAAAAACAAATTTATTTCTAATTAAAGCTAATTAATGCCGGACTCAGGAGAGCGCAAAAATTATCATTTGTTTTACTCTGCCGCGAATTCACGTGTTGAAAAAAAAATCAAATTTCTTTTATCACACTTTATTAAATGATATTTAAGTAAAGCACTAAAAGACCAAGTGCCTTTTATACAAAAATATAAGTGTTCATTTATTTTAAACTATATCAATTAGTTTTTATCGCACCACAGTTACCACCATTTATTACACACTCCCGTTCGGACAACTAAAACTTTTGCAACACCACGCAAGAAAATTGTAAATGACGTTTGAGTAAAGACAAATTCAGTTCAGAAATGTCAAAAACGTCATTTGAGAATAGAGTTGTCAACTCCGTGTAAAATAATGTAATATTGTAGTAGATCAAATATTTGTGTTTTTTGAATAAAGTGTTGACTACACATTATGCAGAGAATTTTTTATTTATTTTTAATTTTTGGTTTTTAATAATTTTAATTATTGAAAAAAAGAGTTCTAGAGGTTAGTAGCAAGTATTACACTTGTAAGTTTGTTGGGTTCCATAATCAGAAATGTTATTAAGAATTTATTTAACAAAGTGTAACCAATTGATTGCCAAAAAAAAACTTTTAAATAAAATCATTCCATAAATGAATAATAATTTTATAGATAATATGAAGTACAATTAGAAGTAGAATGCATCTTTAAGTCGATTAAATATTAAAGAAAAAAAACCCTCTTTTATGAATCCAGTATTAATGTAATGAATGGACTATTGTACTTAACTTGATAAATATCCAGCACTATATGCCATTTTTCGTACAAAATTCATAAAAATATATTAAAGAGGTTTAATAAGTGTAAGTAAAAACACAGTATTGATTGGTTGATTGCAATGACAGGCTATTAAATAACTTACATGTACCTCAATTAGCGATTTTTGGCGATGAACAGTCTGATAAACTATCAAAGAACTGTCTTCCTAAGAACCTATATCTTTTGAACACCAAAAGATATAGGTTATGGTTTCTTTTTCCTGTGAGTTTCCACAACTTCTGCAGTGAGAATTATGAAAAGTGCACAGTTTCTCTGCGTGGGTTCCTATACACTAATGATCAGAAAGAACTGCAGTAAGTCTTGTAGTGTTACGCGGTCTCTCTCGATGAGTTGCGAGGATCATAGTTTTTGTCGATGTGAAATTTTTTTGGTGAAGACATAAACAATTAATTAAACTTTTGTTTTTAGATTTATTTTCTATATGTTTATATTAGTATATATTGATAAATAACACTTGGAAGATTTTTACAGAACTCGTATTTGTTAAAATTATAAACTATTGAACTTCATGTGCTCTATTACAATTTTAGTGATATATGTGTAGTAACAAGATTCCAATTCATGGTTGAAATTTAGGTTCCAATACTGACCTTAGTAAGAATTAAGTTAGTTGTTAACTTAAAATGACTTAAGTTAGTTAATAACTTAAGGATAACTTAAGTTAGTGCTGAAACTTAAGTTACGATTGTTTAATCAGTCCTGAGTGTCATTTTTATTACAAAATGTGTACAAATGCGTCAAAAATGCGTTATACAAAAATGTGTTAATGCGTCTATAATTGCAAATTGAAATATAAGTGGTGTTAAGGTACTTCTACAACTATTTATCTCTAAATTTTAAAACACTTCATCAGATCTAACACCTCGTTAACTCAATATTCGGTAATTCATAACACAATAAATAATATAAGTAAAAATATATTGAGTACCTAAATAAAAATGGAAATGTTTATTTTGAGGGTTGACATAATACCACGATTTTAGCTATATAGATTATATGAGAATATGTAGTAGATTCTTTTTGTTAAATTAAATAAAAATAATAGCCAAAGGAATGTATTAGATAACCGAAATTGGATAATTTTGTTTTCAGATTTTGAATGGGTGAATGCTTGAATCAAAACGTGAATTTTATATAGTATTTACAATTATAAATAAAAGGAGATGTGTTTTTTATGGGACAGAGGAGAAGCGGATTTCAGGTGACTGAATTCTACCTATGAAATAAATTGGAAAACTATATTTGTACAAATGTATATTCATTTAATAAATTAAAACATCTCCTCCATCCTCGAATTATATTTCTGGCTATTGCTTTGAGATGTAGTTCAACAGATTTTAGCAGATTAGATAGGAAAGCATAAGATTTCAGGTACACGAGGTGCTGAACAAAATTCTCTATTATATATTTTAAAAATGCTACCGTAAATCCAGTAAGCATCAATGCTGTAGCCAGTGTTATGCCAAGGGACAGATATACTAAAGAATAATTTTTTTCGGACATTATTATAGCCGTTCACTAAAATTTTACATTATGTATTATACTGTCCAATCTCGGCCCCTCATTTTCCAAGCTATTTTGTCTTATTTTCTAGGTGCTGCTTTTTTAAGACCCTTAGAATGGTGCGCATATGCGATGCTAGAGGATATATATTTTTAAAGTAGCTCTTCTCATAATATGGATTTGTGGTTTTTACAGCCTGTGGAGATCTGTAAAAAGAAAATATGAATGGACTAAAGGGTTGTTTGGGATATGGAACGGTAAATTATGGATCTAGTTTTGCATTCTTATTACAGTGAATTTCATTTATATTCCTATCTACACAAATCCACTTCCAATATAGCTTTGAGCCCGAATTCTTATTATAATATATTTGTACAAACACTATGCACTATGGACTCTAATCTCATAAGTACGAATTCGTATTAGTGTACATTTCGAGTACAATCACTAGAATTACTCGTCTCAGAATCACAGAATTTTTATAAAAGAAACAATATTTTTAAAATATTAAATATTTTATTTGAAAAAAATTTATTGTAATTATAATTATTTTTTATATCAAGGCAATATATAAACATATCAATTTTATGCAAATTATAAAAATTTCTTTTTATTTTTTATTACATATTTATTTACTTAGTATATATATATATAAAATAAAAATCGAATAAAATCAAAAAAAAAATTAAATATGAATTATAGGAAAAAAATTGTGCAGATATTGAATTTGTTGCTTTTATGTTAATTGCAGTTCGTTTCATAATTCGTCTTTAAATTATATGATTTATTATTAATTATAATTAAACATAAAATATATATGAAAACATAAAAATAATATTAAAAAATAGCACAAAAATTTGCTTAAAATGTACATCGAATTAACTTTACATTATAACATAATATATATATTTAAAAAATTTTCTTTTATTTAATCATAAACATAAGAGCAAGAAAAAAAAACAATATTTTATATATAAAATTAAAATATAACTAATAAACGTAATAAAATATATAATATATTTGAATTAACACGGTAAAAATTTATTAGCAAATAAGCTCTATAAATATTTACTGTTTAATTTAGTTATTTTAAATGATTTTTCAATACACTATAAAAATTGCGTTTGTCAATTTATTATTAATTTTTTTTTTTAGATTTTACCTTTAAGTTTTATTTGAATGATTTTACGATATTTTGCAGTGTTCGTGTCTTAAAGTTTTAATTATAAATATATGTATTTGTATATATTTATAATATATTCACAAAATTGAAATTATAGAATGTGTAGTGAAAGCGCTAAATTCTTAATGTTAAGTAAATTAATCGATTAAAAATTGAAATAAACAAATTTTAAAAATATATTAACTTTGACATATTTTTTAAATAAAATTTAGTATAATTTTAATTATTAAATAAAGTTATTTTACATATTTATTTTTTAATATATAATAGTGTTTCAAGGCATTGTAATATAATTGTGTACGAATATTACGATATTCGCACAGTTTGAAAATACACCATTTCGAATATTTGGATTAAACACTTCAAATGTTCGAAAATAAACGTATAATAAAAACTGCTTTAACACAATATAGTATTCGAACATCTTCGATTGGTGTACTGTTCTCGAACAAGATGCACGAGCACTAACATATTACATTTGGACTTGAAAATTGCGCGAAGCTTCAAACAATATAAATAATATTCAATGTATTAACTTATAATTTAAAAAGCTTAATTTTATAAAGATTTTGTTAATAGTATTTATTTATTAATTTTAAAATTAAATATTCTTTTTATATTAGCAGTATATAGGCGAACTTAATTAACACATTAGATTTAAAATATGCAAATTTATGTTCTTAATTTATTTGACACATTTTTTAAATTTGTACGCTTCTAAATATTTAATTAAACATTAAATAAAATTTAAAAATTTTTAACAGTTCAAAATCATTTATGACATTTTTTTCTATTATTGTTTCTTAACAATTATAATTTAAATTTTTATAAATCTTATATATTATATATTTACGAAAATTAAGAAAATAGCGTCTTCAGTACACATAACATGCTTTAAACAAACGAAAAGTATTAATAATATTTTAAACAGAAATTTATAAATAATATCCTGTATATTAATTGTGGCTAGCAAGGAAGCATCGTTATATATTTCATTGGCAATGACGTTTAACTTTACTGCACTGCAACTTGAACAAATCTACTAATCCTCCATCCAGCTTAGTGTATGGCCACTCATAAGTTTACATTTATTTCTATTTTATAAACTATTTGCATTTTTATAAAATAAAATATGTATATAAAAACTAGTATGTCAATTTTAAATGTATATAGTTTGTCTTAGAAAAGTTATATGAATTAAAATCAAATAAAGTGGTCAAAAATTAAGTGATCATCTTATCTTTAATATTTAAACCAAATTTGTATTGTAAACACCTTTCTGAGACAAACTATATTTAGACCCACAAAAAGGTTTTACACTTTAAAAACTACAATAGTTTTAATTATTTTAAATATTTTTATAATTATTTTAAATACTATATATATATATTGTATGTGTGTAAATTAGTTGCTGATTTCTTTTTCATATGTTAGGGTTAAACGTATAAAATTATTACAATATTTTTTTTTTGTTTTCTTAATTAATTATTACAAAATTTATGTTTAGTTCTTCAATATTAAAAAAAATCTCTCTTTTATATGAAAAGAAAAAATTATAAATTTTATTTTGACATTGTTTAATAATTATTAATTAGCAAACACAAAAAATATGTAAAAAATTTTTAAAATATTAAAAATATATTTTTATAATTTATAATTATTAATCATGTGTTTTGTATTAAAGTAAACATTGTTTTTTTGTTTTTTTTTTAATTAATAGTAATTATACATATAATTTTAAATTTAGTTGCAAAACGTTAAAATGCATTTAAAAGTTATTTGATTTTGTTTTTGCATTCATTGTTGTTCTTTCTCTCTCGCCAACATAATCAAATTGGTTTCTTTCTCTTTTTTTGAATTTTTACGTAGTTGGTGTTGGTGGCAATAATGGTGAGTTTATGTGTGGATGTGTTGTATGTGTAGTTGTATTGTATATAAACGCATTTTGTGTGTATTTAAATTTGTGTTGTTTTTGTTTAGTTGTTGATATAATATCGTTATCCCCCCACTGAAGTTTATTATGAATGATATGGCGTTACATAGGTTGCTGGGAATATGCCTTTTCGATTGCCAATCTCGCCATTCCACCAATTCTCGTCAGAACGATCTGTGACGGTGATGACATCGCCGCGTCTAAAGTCCAATTCGCCGGATTCTTGTGGCACAAAATCATATAATGCTTGTACGAGCATCTGTAAATGTTGATAAAAGTATGTTAGTTGGTAACAAAACAGAGTAAGACATTAGAAATTTTTTATATCCTAATAGGACATTATTTTTTTAAAAGAATGTTAAATATAAAAAATATAAAATATAAAAAATATATATATACACAATTCAATGGTGTACTGAGAGTAAATTTTACCAAGAAATAGTGCCTATAAAATTAAGTTTTAGTCTGAGCATTTTGCAAAATAGGGTTGCTGAAAAACATTAAAATGAGTGTAGGCCCAGGTGGAAAGATCTCACCATCTTGTATGTTGATCCTTTTTTTCGAGTCAGCGCAACTGGGCACTTTTACTCTTTGATAGCTGGGAGTACTATAGGGTCCCACCCATCTCATTGACTAATTTATGTTTTGCCTATAAGCTTCATGATTATTCAGTGATTGAGCTAAGATCTACGTACCTCCCCGTGCGGAAGTACAGACGACCAAAGACCGTTCTTTTGGTTGCTCATAGGGTAAAGACAGAAACCTTATTGAGCACATACAAAACAATAGGACATCCTATTGCGACCTTTGTAGCTCAAATATGGATCCCGCAACTCTGCGAGACACAATGATATGACATCCTTACAAAGTGTGGGACAACATATTCTTAAACGATTATCAAGAATAAACTTGTGTTTTCAATTTTCAGAACAAGTTCCTGGAATTTATGGTATGTACCATCTTAATGTACATACACCCAAAATTATTATTCTATATACTTAATATAATTACCTCCTCTGGTATCATATCTCTTAATTTAACATCTTGTGATCGCGATACGCTTGCCGTTCGATGATATTCAACTAATTCATTTAAGGAATTAAACTTAACCACCCAAAGGAAGAATTTACCCTGTGCGTCACGTAAAACTTTAAAATGCTGAACACCGTCAGGACATCTATAAAGTGGAATAAATAATTAACAATTTCGAAAATAATTATGTACTCGTATAAGAGAAGAATATATAACATATTAATAAACTTACTTGACAGATAATGAAAAATCACCAGGACTTGATTCACTTATACGAATTAAAAATGCACCTTCATGTTTGTTGGAGAGGAGTTTTTCCGCATCAGCACGTGTTATTCTACCATAGTACCAGCTGTTAAATAAAACATGAGTTAGCATTTCATTTCTTTTAAATATTATTAAAATGAATAATAATTATATATTTTATATTTGAACTTACTCATGATTTTTCATTTCTATATAATTACTAGGGATAAGGCCTTCCTTGCCATCTAATTCAGCGCGGTACCAATTTGAGTCATCTTCCATGTTTAATATCTACAAAACAAAAACCGAGTTCATTAATTTAAGAAGACCACAAATATTATTACATTATTATTATTACATTATATATGCAATGAGTAATAGATTATATAAGACTTAAGTATTAATTTTTAAAACACCATTTCGTAATTCAATTTTTAGCAGAATAGCACCGCCGAAGTAGATCACAAAGCGACTTGGGTCCTTTTTCGACATCGATTCTCGGATGTCGTTATGGAGTTAAAGCTAAAGATAAATTTGAATTATCGCTGCTATCTCACACAATGTGTGTCCGTTCGCATCGCATCCCATGACGATTTTTAACCTTTTCGTTCTGCAATACTCCATCAGTCTGATTACCTCCTGACTGGGATATATTTCAATAGAGTCGTATGGCATATAGGTCGATGCTACCTTCTCTTACCATACAAAGATCTGGTTTGCATAGATGAGGCAATTGAATGCAGTCTATCCTCTTTCTTACCATTATGCGTGTCATTATTTTTCCAGCTGTCTGTGGAAAGAACAGCGTGGCAGCTGATGCAGCAAATCCCTTTATTAGGTTTTGAACAATCCAGGGCTCTTGATGTGATGAATATTCAGTTGTACAACCTTTAGTGTTTTCTGGTATGGGCCCACCCGCCGCCCTAACGGACTACATAGATCCATTAGTCCCATACCAGATGCGTCTTCATGTCCACCGTGTATACCTTCAGAACTTCACTTCGGCCTGATCTAGACCACAGTTGAGCATGGCTCCTGCGGTCTTAATCGCCTCAGCGTCTTCTTTAGGGCACCACACTGTGAGCATGACGCCAGCATTACTTGCATCACCAAACTTGCTGGAGTTAATGATCCTCCATTTCGAAGTATCTTTAATACAGCTGTTTTGCTTCTGCAGCCTGCTGAGAATACTTTCTTTGCCCACGGTAGAGTCGTAGACAAAGATCAATATTCTCTTCTCATTGAGCAACGATGTTAGCGTATCAGCCGTCAGCTTAGCTTCTGGCCAAAGGCCTTCCAGCTTAGTTACCGTGCTGATTAGCCATGCCTTGGATTGTTGGTTTTTACATTTAATGGTAATGTAACCATTCTTAAGGCGAGCGTTGCCAATAAACCCTATGTCACCTATTTCATTATCTAGGGAGTCCACGGCGTTCAACAAAGATGCTTTGAAAGCAACTAAGTGTTTTTCGCCAAGAGGTCCTTCGACTCTTGAATCGATGACACCCATATTGAGATCCATCCCAGCTACCTGGGCGTAGGACCTCTTTCGTCTTTCTCTTTTTCGCTTCTGCTTCTCCCTCTTATTCAGACGGATACGCTCGGCTAAGTCGAGATCAGTCATTGTCACGTTTCCAACTGTTGTGGTTAACGGCTCAGCCTCTTGCGGGGCTTCTTCGTCCACCATTTCATTGGTAACATGACTGTGATGCGTCGTGGTATTTAAAGCTAAGGTTATCAGCTCGGCCTTTGAGGCCTCATTGTCCACCTTATCAGTGTCAACCACTTTGTCTTGTTTAAAGTTTATTAAAATTTCATTAGAGTTAATTTTGTTCCCACGAGTTGCGAAGAGAAATATGTCCACCTGCGGAGAGCTTCGCATTGCACAGGTAAGGCTGTTTAAAACAGGAGGTCGCCAGGTATCCCGAGTTCGCTACTAAGACTGCTTCTACCCCAGCAGTCAAGCTAAAGGCGTAGCTGTTCCACCTTAGTTTGAGGGGTTTAATTTCTGATAGACACATTTCACCTATTTACACATTCATTCCCTGTAATCATTCACTAAAAGGTGTTTTCCTTCACCCCCGCACGACTATCTGCGTCAAACGATAAACAGAGACATGACCGTACTTATCACTTAACAGTTGACCTGATGGATAGTCGCACTTCCCGAAGGCTGGTCAACTTAGCAGATGTGCGTAGACACCCGCCTAACTCCCTGGAGTATAGACTTAGTCTGCTAGCATATGGATCGACTTATCAGGAATCGTAGCAAGCTACTTCGACCTGTGCGCCCTCACGACTTACCAGGATTCGTAAATACTTTACTTTGACCTGTGCGTTTTCTCTTTTAGTCGCCTTTTACGACAAGCAGAGATCTACTGAGGTGGTATTCTTATCCCGCCACCACACGGGGAAAACCTATCTTAACCAGCTTTATCTAAGAATAGTGGAACAACATACGAAACAAAACGGGAGTCTGACTACCCTAGCAACTTGACCAAGTCTCTAGTTTTGCAGGATAATAGCTCTGTCGGGTCGTTTAGCTCTGCTTAGATATTTCTGTTTGATAGACCGTTTGGCCATTACAAGTGGAATACTAATATCTGAAAACTAATGTCAAGGCAGCAGAAGACCTAATACGCCAGAACGGTCAACATGGAGAAGAACGGTCGAAAGTGAGCTAGCTGAAGCACGATATACATGGAACGACATCTATAGAGAAGCACCAAATAGAGTCAGCTTAAAAAAAATTATTAAGACTCTATGCTCCATTGGGGGAGTGAATAATAGTAGTAGTACTTAAAGTCAGAGGGCAGAGTGCCTGCCTTGGTAGTTTCTTCTGCTCTGCAGTTGCTTGAGATGTTCCTGCGTTCAGGTACCCATGCGAACTGGTCACTGATATGCATAGTTAGGTCGTTAAGAGAAATAACATATATATGCTTGTTACAACAACAAGGTATTATAATGTGCAAGCATATATTCAAATTGAATTATAAATCACAGATTAATATTTTTTTTCTAATCTTTAAAGATTGAATTTAATAATATAGTTTTTCTGCATTATACAATGCATTATATATATATAATATTCGCAGAATTAGCAGTTGTATGAAGAAAAGCAAGTAAGATTTTCATTATTATCAAAATTATATAAAAAAAAAAATTAAAGATATATGTAATAGCTGCTCTGATAAGTTTATAAAAATTTAAAAATAATTATTTTATTAATAAAGTTGTTAAGATAAATTTGAAGAAATTTCCATAACTTAACAATAAAGTTCATTCACTCAATTTATTAAATAATCCATATTGTAAATCTGAAACAATGAAGTACTTGACCTGAGAGGTTATCTCTTGCCAGAGAAGTTCTTCTTTTTTCTGTGATAATTCAAATGCGGCACAAAGTAAATAATATTAAATAAAACTGGTCTGGGACGTGATTATATATTTTGAATTATTTTGCAAAATGCAAATGCGATGAAATTCTTCCGAGTCATAACAGTAAAAAATAAAAAAATCTCAGAAGTTTTTATATCGCATTTTTTCTAGTTTTTATATTTTTTTAATATTCGAAAGCTAAACAATTACTAAATTAAACTAAATAAAATCAACATGTGCGTCACATAAATAAATAAAGTCAATAACACAAATTATTTAAATATTTACTTCATACGTGATAAATATTTTAAAGATTTTTTTCTTATCTATTTTAACTTAAATAAAATTTAATGCTCATGTTTGCATACACCAAGGAAAAAATGTTAGTCATAATAGATACATAAACCAAAAAGAAAAAGATTATAGAAAAGAAAGCAATTAAATTGAATGATTGAATACAATCAATCAAATTAACGTCTGACGTAAAGTAAATGATGTTGTTTTGGACTTGTAATAATGAAAAATCAATTTAAATACGTAATTTAATACAGATAAAGTAGTCAATTCAATCAAGTAGAGTGTGTACACCAAGATAAATGGTTTAATTTTACACAGACGACTGTACATACCATATATTCATATAAATCTATTTATAGAGTAATTCAAACAGCATGTTTAATGAGTTTTACCTATAATGAAACGTAACTTAGCTTCTCAGATATCCACAAAGTCAGAAGGGTAAGCCACAGTTAAACAGAATAGTTTCATTTTATAATATTTCATAATAAATATCCAACTAAAATGTGAATATGACACATTCGAAAAGCACCTTAAATATATTCATTAAATGATTAGATCACAAATAAATTATGTCAATTAATATGTTAAGCGGATCCAGAGCAGTTAATAGAGTAACACTTTTAAAGATTGATGATTTAAGTGTTAGTTTAAGTGAATTCTGTAATAATCATTTGGATTTCTCAACCCGCAACTATTCTGCAAGCGTTTAGGGCAGTCAGAATTCCAATATATGTAGTCAGTTAAATAATACCCATATTGAGACCCATTCCAGCTGCCTGGGCGTAGTGTCTCTTTCGCCTGTCTCATTTTCGCTTCTGCTTCTCCCTCTTATTCAGACGGATACGCTCGATAATAATCATTTGGATTTCTCAACCCTCAACTATTCTGTAATCAAATCACTATTATACACAGTAGTTCTAGAGCGTTATTGTGTTCAAGGCAGTAGTTAATTGATAACCGATTTTATTATATTTAGTGGTAAACAGGTTTTAGACTATACAAATAGAATATAAAATAGAAAAATAAACATAGACTGTCATATCATATGAGCTACAATGGGTCATAATTTGAGCCTGAGTGAGCTTTCTTCAATACAAGGCCGCCACTCCAACCTACTCTATCATATCAGAAGCATAGCGTGATTGCCGCATTACAGTGTTGTAAGGTTTCATCAAGAACTATTGGATAGGCAAAAAGTTTAATTACAAATGGTACTGCCACTCGTTTCTTCAGTAAACTATCTAATGGTCATTTTTCAATATGCAAGCACAATCTGAACAATTTTTTCCTATGTTTTATTATAGATGAATGTTCAATGTTTTCTTGACCTTCCTGGGAAAATCTTACCATCCATAAGTTCAAGAATATGATATATATAAAGTATTATAAAGTTAAGGTTAAGTAAAAAGGCTTTAATTTATCATTAATATTTTCTCGACCTTTCCGGAAGGATTTTACCATTTATTAACTCGGGGTTATGACAGATTTTATGCCATCTTCAATATGTTCTCGGTTTCTGGAAAGCGTTGTAGTATTCCTTAACTCGGGATTATGGCATATCGTCGTCGTAAAAAATTTTATCTCTTCTTTTATGATTTTATGATTATCTCTTCTTTGACCTTTTTGAAAGCGTTTTACTATTCATTAACTAATTCGAGGTTATGGCATAACGTCGTCACCATTTATTCTTAAACATTAGTTTAAACATTAGTAGTTTACTTAAATTTAAATAAAAATTACAAAAATTCTCTAAATTAATACCGTTTTCAATTGGTAAATCTTGAGTAGCTTTGTTAATCGAGATTCGCTTTTATTACAATTTTTATTTTCGATTGGTAAATCTCGAGCAAATTGTATAACAATCGAGATTAATTTATAACACTCTAGATATTTTACCAGAGTAGCAAGATTAAGCTGAAATAAACAGCTGTTTAATAGGACTTGACAAATAAAGTATGATTTGATTCGATAAATGCCTTTATGAAAGATATAAATGTCTAGTAACACTTCTACAAAAACTTTAGATTATTTTAAAAATGTTTGATGGGCAATAAAATGTGACAGATCGGTAGTAAATCTAGATTAAATCCAGATTTACCATTCGAAAATGCCATAAGCATCATTTATAGCGGATAGTTAATAGATCTGTTCCACGAGCTACTCGTAGTAAGTTTGAGTAACACTGTGTATACACAAGTGCGTTCCACCAGCAAATATTCGAGTGAATTTTGAGCATCTGAGAGAGCGTAACATCCCTGTCGAAATTTGAAAATTCTACATAGACTTTAATTGTACATTTTATTTCAAGTAAAATTTGTGTTGATGTTTGAATCAGCTGTTTTTGTTTGAATTTAAATTTTTGTATTGTTTATTTCCGCGACATTGGTGTTCTCACCAGATTTTACACAAAGTTGTTTCATGATAATCTGTGTAAAGAGCGAAATTTGGCACTTTATTTGTGTTACGTTCTAAGTTTGTACTTTACTTGAGTTCTGCTTTGTGCAGCTCGTGGAACATACCTAATATGTATACTACTGGCAGTGCAACCAGTACATAAAAAAAGACACGACTTAACGAGCAAGATATAATGTAAAGATTTAAAAATTTTTCTTTACTTTTTGATAACGTCTTATATTTTAGGGCATATATCTAGGTATGAATATATAGTAAGTACATATATCTATTTTAAATTTTTATTTATAAATATTACGAATATTTTTGCATTGGGCAACAATGCGTAACAACAATTATAAAATATTTGAATTTATTTCCCGACATGAATTTTAAGTTATTTCAAAATTTCGCTTTGATTGTGGGGGTGTCGAATTT